CTCGAAAGGGATACGTATCGAGGAATTAAGGTGGCTTTGGTGCGTATCTCGAGTAAGCAGCTTTATCGAGTCACTCGAGTGTGTGTGTGTATGTGTTTGTTTGTTTGTGTGTGTGTGTGTGAGTGTTTTAAACACGTGATGGAATGGAGATCGATCTTCGACGAGATAGCCGAATTCGAATGTTGGCCACGAGTTGGAACGTGGCGCTCTGTGACTGAATCGAAGGTTAGGTGACAAAGATAACTATCTTGCGTGGAAAAAGTTACTAGATGACTTATACATGCATTTGCATAAATACTCGAAATGAAATGAGACTCGAAGAACAGTTTATCGTTTAAAAATAAATATATACAGATCCGCATTAAAATTTGTTGGAGGATTAAGGAAACATATTTTTTTTAGAAACTATGTTTTCCATTTTGTGATCATCATTTTGTTATTGAAAGTATAAAAATTGGTGCTTTCAATACAAAAATGGATGACGTAAACGTAGAATATTTGAAAATGAATATACGTATGAAGTATACAAATATACATTTGACCACTGACACAGAAGATATTCAATTGTTGTTATGCAGAAAGGGATTTGCATGGGGTATCAAGTTGGTGTTTCAAGTCTGGATGCAAATGCGAATGGAAACGTTGAAAAGTAATAATGAAAGCTGATTGTGTATCGAATAGAATTTCGACGTGATACGCGCAACGTGGCAGAATTTATTGAGAGATTAACACCCACCATGTGTAATATCAAAGTATTACGATCCTTATCTGTAGACTGTCTAGACTCTAGACGTTTCTGTGACTCATAGAGACTCAAGAGGATATCGAACACGTAAGAAACGAGAAATATTTTACCTTGATCGATTATATCACAGCTGGGTTTAAGAAAAGAAAAAAAAAAAAAAAAAATAGAAAAAATTCATCTAAATATTGTTTCCACGTAATCGCACGTGGTAAAAAAAATCAATAATTACAGTTTATTACGGTACATCACAAGTGTTAATTATTTAAACAGAATCGATTAGAATTGCAAATACGATGAAATTTGAAATCGAATGCAAATAAAAAGTGAATTAATTTGAATAAAATCGATTAATTTGCATTTCCGTTGATCCTGCAAAGATCGAGCGTGTCGGAGACTCTGAGAAAAAACCTACTGTAATCGCCAACAGATGGTAGCACTCTATCAGAGCATCTCCTCTTCTCGTTCACCCTTCTTGCTCCACCTATACTACATCCAACATAACATCCTACGTTACATTTTCATTATACTTTATTGAACTTGTGCTTCTATCGAATCAATATCTTTGTATGTAAAATATAAATTATACCTAAAAAAAAAAAAAAACAGAACATAAAAAAAAAACAAAAAAAAATTTGATATATCTCAAATAAAAATATAAAAGTATAAAAAACTTCATAAATAGATGTTTCTACAGTCATTATAAGATATTATAAGTAGAATTGATCGTCATAAATCAAACATACCCGTTATTACGATTTCGTTTTTCTACCTGCCTATACACCATTAAGATTAACATTCCCTAACTTTTCCAACAAATATCAACTTTCTTTCCATACCAACTTTTCAAATTTAGAACAATCGTATTCTCGTGTCATTCGGCCTTCAAATTACAAATTCTTGCTTTCCCTATCCTACAGATGAGTAGTACCTGACGTAGTCGAGGCGCGACTCGATATTCCATTCGATCCATCGAGTCACGCTCTCCAGTCTACATTCTCTACATGCATCTATTCGATTCGACGATTACGGAGCGCGCCCTCGATTCCCCTCGAGCGGACAACGCACACCCACGTCGGCCGCCCAATTTTCCACGAGCGAGCGAACGAGAACTCGAGGATGTATCGCAGAGGCCAC